TTTAAATTCAACTGAAGATGACAAGTGATAGTCAAAAATGTATTGGTTAAAATTAATAAAATGGTTTTATTAATTAAAAAATTTGTCTTGTTTCTTAAAATATTTACATTTTTAGTGCTTAAAAGAAATTTTGGATATATATATATATATATATATATATATATATATATATATATATATATATATATATATATATATATTATATATATATATATATATATATATATATATATATATATATCAGGCTTGGTCGGGAAGCGGGAGCGATCGCTCTCGAATACTGACCACGGAAATTATATTTAGTTGCGTAAAACTGGCCAGGTTTTTTAGTCGTTTTGAGAACATTTAAGTTTATGTACGAAACAAAAAATTTTTGTTTTACGGACATACATGGAAACATAAAAAAACTTTAATGTTCTCAAAACATCTTTGTGCAAAAGAATAAAAAGAATATTTGCGAACACTAAAAATCCGCCAAATTAAAAAACAAACTAATTCTATTGGTTCAAAAAATACGCTGTTTAAGCGAAATAAAGTTCTAGAGTATTCTGTTAAAATGTTTTAAAAAATTGTATTACACACGATAGATTTCTAGCATTGTTTTAAGAATATATATTCTTTGTTTACGAAAATAAATGTTTTAAATATAATTGATTAAATTGTTAAAATTTTAAAAGTTTATTATAAATCATAGATTTTATTAGTATATTCTTATTTTTTATTTTAAAAGAGATTGTATTCTTTATGTAAATGTAATTTTGTGTATTTGTTTTTTATCGTAATGTATCTTTCAAAGCAATTTTTATGATTTAAACAAAGACTTACAAAAATAATTGCGTTTTCAATGAAGTTATAATCGTTAAAGTTAATAAAACTAATTATGCAACAAACATATAAGTAGTTTCTGGTTACTAAACACAAAAAACGCATACAAAGTAACTCGCGGATGAACAAGCATCGCGCCTAAGGTCACGACTAATATACTTTTTTCTGCTTTAAATACTAATTAAAATTAAAAAGCCCACTCACTAAACATCATCAGCGATATTGCGAAGCAGTTTCGCTTCCTGGTCATTAAGTATTTTTAACTTTTTTAGTTGATTTCTATCTTGATTATTTAATTCCTATAGTAATTCGATGATTTAATTTTTTCATTTGTTTATCTTACTAAGAAGAATCGCTTCAAATATGTTAAACTTTTCAAACTACTCGAAACATAAAATAGGTATTAAAAAATTAACTTTTTTATTTATAAAAAAATTTAGCTTAAGTAAAACTAAAACTTGCAAACTTAGTTAAATAAAGAATATTTATTTCCCTTTTAAACGATCGTAAGTTGTTACTTTATATAAAAAACATCGCTTAATTTTATTTTTTTTGTAATTGTCTCTCATCGGTCCAATTAATGTTCGTCGCTTTTTTTTTTTTTGCTTTTTAAAATGTTCTCAAAACGACTAAAAATCTGGCCAGCTTTTCGCAACTAAATATTATTTACGTGGTCAGCAATCGAGAGCGATCGCTCCCGCTTCCCGACCAAGCCTGATATATATATATATATATACATATATATATATATATATATATATATATATATATATAATATATATATATACATATATATATATATATATACATATATATATATATATATATATATATACATATATATATATATACATACATATATATATATATATATATATATATATATATATATATTATATATATATATATATATATATATATATATATAAGATATATTGATGATGATAATGCAATCAATCTATTTTGCCCAAAAATTAGTGATATTCGGGAGGCACTGCATGTGTTGTATGACTATATCCAGTACAGTTTTATGGGTGAAGATTTGCATCAAAAGCTCAATGCTGTCTCGATTAAATTCGATAGAGACGTATCTTCAAAACTAAAACAGTGACAGAACAATTTATAATGTATTGTTTTTACTTTTGAGATCAAAACTTTTAATAACTCTAATTGTTTTTACTCAAATTGTTTTTTCGGACAAAGTTCGTGTTATAGAATTTCTCGATAACTCAAACATTCGCTAACTCAAACTATTTTCTAGGTCCCTTGGAGGTTCGAGATATTGGGAGTTCACTGTAGATATTATGAGTTCTTATTTTTTATTTAAAGGAGGGTTAAAGGCACCCTAATATATATATATATATATATATATATATATATATATATATATATATATATATATATATATATATATATATATATATATATATATATATATATAATATATATATATATATATATATATATATATATATATATATATATATATATATATATATATATATATATATATATATATATATATATATATATATATATATATATATATATATATATATAAGCTTCGGCAGGAAGCAAGATCTTTAGCTCTTGCTCTCGCCCACACTTTCCTAAAACAGTTTACGAGAGCAATGTATGGCTCTTGCAAAAATCTAATTATCATTGTAACTAAAATAAAAAATACAGTCATTTAATAACTATTTTTAATAATTCTTAAAAGGCCTGCATTTTATTACAAATAGAAAATATAAAACTTTTTTTATAACCAGTAAAAACAATAAAAGTAAATGCTGCAATAAATGTTAAATAAAAATTACACGCTTTTTTTCAGTAATTTTTTATTCAAATAACTATCAGGCCTTGTTTTAAATAAAAAAGTGCTTAATGCATTAGCTTAACGCGATTTTGACGTCATAAAATTATTTTTTTTTTTTTTATAGACATTTTTTACAGACGTGTTTTAACTACCATAATAAATAAATAACCACAAACTAGTTCAATTTAACAATTAACTCAAATAACTATAAAAGCTTTAAATGTAAATTTATTATGAAAAGTTTGAAATGTTTTTAATTGTTATTTTATTTTTAATTTTAGTTCAATATTATTTAGTAAAATATTTATATATATATATATATATATATATATATATATATATATATATATATATATATATATATATATATTAATTATTACTGAAATTTGTTTTTGAATAATTATTGTTTATAAATTGTTATTGAATAATAATGGTTTTTTTTATTTTTAAAAATTTCCGGAGTAAACAAAAAATATTAACACTGATAAACAAAAACCCATGTTAATTATTTAAACAGCAATTTTGTTTTGACAAACAAAGAATAATTTAGGTTTTTAAATATTTTTTAAATTTATCTTGCTTAGCATTTCAACTTGTGTTATATAAAAATATAAAAAAGTTTTGTCTGCTTTGAGCATATTTTTGACACATAGTTTAGAACGCGTTCGCCAGGAATTTAATTCATAAATTTTTTACGTTATTGTAAAAATGTTTTACATTTTAAACAAATCACAAAGAAACAAAGCTATATAGAAAAATCGTTTTTAACAATTAAATCTTTTTTTTTTTAATTTTAGGTAATTAAAAAATTAAATTAAATATAAAAATCTTAATTATGCAAACTCTTTAGTTAATTATTCTTAAAACAAAAACAAATACTTCTACGCAAAACTTTAATCGTGCAAACTTAAAAAAATACTCAAATAAAATAATATAAGTATATTTAATAATTTGAATCGTATCTGTTTATAATAAACGTTCGTAAAAATTTGTTTATTAAAAATTAAGTTGCTTAACTTATAAACAAACTCAAAAGTATTTTCATTCTATGTATAATTACAAAACTTTTTATTTTTTTTCATTTGTAAGCAATTTAACTTAATAAAATAAAAAAAGAATAGATATGAGAAAATCTTTATTAAGAACAAATTTATATTTATATATCAACTTAATTAAAATATAGTAACATGTTAAAATATTTTAACATGACTTGTGTTATTTATAAACCGTAGAGCAGCTGCCCTTACGGCACCATTGTTTTTGGATAATATTTTATTTTGATGAAGATCATATAACTTACATTTGATTTTAATAACGTAAATCCTAAGACTGACAGAATTGCGCACCACTTTAAAAACATGTTTTGAGCTAAGTAGAACAATCCCTGGAACTAGGAGCTATCATCAATTTAAACCAGAATCTATAGATACTATTAGCTTTAAACGAACAAGTGAAGATGTTTATATAACAGGCACTTTTTCTTTTTCTGGTATTCAAAGTTCTCAAAATGATCAGAAAATTAACATTGATGCCTTAAAATTTGGTGAATTCATTATGTGTAAATATGATGTGTTTGATTGGATTGGTATGATCAATGAAGTTGATAATATAGAGCAAGATGTTATGGTAATGTTTATGAACTTTTCTGGCTATCTAGAGTAGATGAGTGTTGGGTTCCAATTACCAACATAACTTGTATAATTGATGCACCTGTAACAACAAATGGACAATTGTTCATTTTAAATTTTCTCTTTAAATTAGTTTGGTTTTTACAAATTATCGATATATACAAAAAACCATGGCCAAGTTGTCAAAAAAAATATTGTATGCATAGTCATATAAAGCATGCAACTGCACACATATCTTGAGAACTTGATATTTATATACATTTATAAATATTTTTGTTATAACCAATAAAAAAAGGAAATTTAATAAAACTTAAATATTTTGTTCTTCCAAATTATGATCTAAATATCCTGCATAAAATTATTTTTTAGTTTTTCCAAAATTTTACACATAAAACCTTTCCAAAAAGTTCTTAATCAACCCCATAGCACTTTCCATTAAAAAATTTATGAACCAATGTCCGTGAAAACAGCTGCTATAAAGTGAAACGGTTGCTATAAAGTCCTTTTGTAGTTTTGTAGGCCTGCTTCATTTCATCAGACATCCATGTCCATTTACATTTTTTTTTCTTGTGCTCACATGCGAGCACAAGAGAAATATAATCTAAATATTTATATATACTTTTTAACTAAAACTATATTTTCTAATCACTTGAAGATTCAAATATTTTAGTGATTTTCTTATTTTAACAAAATTGAGTCAAGAACTTTAATATTATTCATTAAAATATTACCAGAAATCCTGAAGCAACTGATGCAATTTGATTTTTTCGCTCAGAAAGATCAGGACATGTAAAACTTGGACAGTGAGCATTATCTAAACAACCACTCATCTTTAAAAAGGTTCTTCTATAATACTTTAATAATTTTGAATTAAAACTTTAGCATTAGATTTAAGCCATTAAAATCTAAAATAAAAATTTATTATGTAAAGTTATATCTAAATACAGAATAAAAATGCGTAGAGCGCACTAAAATTTACTCCTGTCACATAAATTTAAGCATAAAATAACCTTAACAAGTTGCATGCAATTGCATGCAACCATGTTACCTTAACATGGTTGCATGCATATTGCATGCTTCTTTTTTTTAACTATAAATGAAATGCAGCATAAAAGTATTTTAAAAAACATATTATACTTTAAACAAAGCACTAAATAAAAACAATTATATTATACATTTAAATTAACATTATACAATAATATATAAAAATGATTAAAAAATAAAATATTTGAATTCCGTTTTTTAATTCAAGTGTTAATGTTTTTAGTTTTGCTAATTTTCCGGTTCATGAAATTTAAATTTTGATTGCCGGTGAAACAAGTTTACTTCCGTAATGAACTTCCGTAATAAGCTTTCGTCACTCAAAATCAAACAAAATGCGGACTTTAAAAAACTACATACAGAAACCATTTTACAGGGAGAGGGGATTTTCATACCTTTTAACCTCAAAGAAGGCAACTTTCAAAGAATATGTTCGGGTTTTTGATACATTTCAGTAGAGTGATTTAGATTTAAGGATTGTTTTTTTTAGAAAGCAGTCGTTAAAATACAAGTTTGTTAACAAACTTGTATTTTTTGAAATAATCAAACTTGCATTATTTATATGAAATGTCAAAACCATTCCATTTTAATTTCTTTTGTAGCATCTATAAAGATCTAAGATTTTTTAATTTTGAACTTATCTTATTTTTTTAAAACTAAAAATGAATTCATTTTTAGTTTTAAAAAAATAAGATAAGATAATTTTGAACTTATCTTATTTTTTTAAAACTAAAAATGAATTCATTTTTAGTTTTAAAAAAATAAGATAAGTTCAAAATTAAAAAATCCTAGATCTTTATAGATGCTACAAAAGAAATTAAAATGGAAATTAGATTTTAAAAAAAACAAACATTAAAAAACGTGGTCAAAATTTTTTCAGAATCAGTAAGTTACAATTTATAGAATCATAAAACATTTCCTTGTTAATAGTTATCAAAGTATCAAGTTCATCTTTTTATTGTCTAAACCTTTATTTTATAATCATCTGCGAGTGCTCGAATAGTTTTTTAATAATTTGTTGATCCGTCAATATGATTTGTTTTTTGCTAATTTGGACATTGGGCTAATAAAAAAATTAGATTTCTTTTCATGGAGAGAAACCTAAACGTTGTAGGTAAATCTTGAACTGTGTCCATCTGCAACAGATATTTGGGTGTTTACTTCTGAAAAGGCCAATAAAAAATAGTTGTCCTGGCTTCCTTTTTCAAAGATTATATAACTATTTTATATACATGCTAAAAGTTAGTAGTATACATCTTCAAAAGACCCTTACCCCAAAATCCTTTGTTTCAAGCAAGAGACACTACACAATAAGAATTATTTATTAGTTTTATGCTTTTTATTTTTTTTTTTTTTTTGCCTTCTGGCTGCAACCACCAAATTGGAGGCGGAAATATTTGCCTAACAAATATTTTTCAACGATCGCTACTAAGTGATAGAAGCACCCAGCCAACATTGACAGACGGGTACCGTATGGTTCTTGTCTGGGCTTACGGGAACGGGATTTTGACGGGTAAGTGTTTTGGTTTCCAGACGGGTCCCATATGGTAATAAAATCAAGCATATTTGCTCTTTAGGGTTTATCTGGTTTTTATCAGGGCCGAATAACCTGGGGATTTGACGGGTTTCCCATAAGGTTCCCAAAAGGTTTAAAAAAATCATAACAAAACTTACTCGGTGGTTGCCATTTTTAATTCGTATTGTGCGTGAAATAAGATTAAAAATTTAACTTTTATGCATTGCATTTTTTAAATATATTATATTTACATTGTAATTAAAAAGATTTTTTTTTTTTTGATGTGTTTTGTCACTGTAAAACTCAGTTAAAAAGACGTTGTTTTAAAATTTCATTTATTTATTATCATTATAAAAGAATTTTTATATATACATATATATACATATATACTATTTTTTAAATGAATTTACAAAGTTCAACATATTTGTTGAACATATGTTCCAGAAACTATTAAACATGTAGTAAATGTTCTATTGAGACACTGTTTACATTTTTAAAATGATCAAAATATAAAGTTTTGTTTCTGCTAGTCACTAGCAGAAACAAACTTTATATTTTGATCATTTTAAAAATGCAAACTAGCAGCTAGTGATATAATTAGATAATAAATGGTTTAAGTTTAATCAAAATATTAGTTTAGTCAGAAACATTTAAAAAGAACAAACAGACGAATAGAATGTAATGGATAGGTTATATTTAGGGAATTAAAAGCTTTTAAATCGTTGTTACAGATCCACTCTTTTTCATTGATTTTTCTATATTTTATGCAAGCAAAATGACTGATGTTAACGAAGTTTACCCACCGTCAGATATAAATAAAGATATAATTAGATGTTTAAATGCAAAAATATGGCTTTATTGTTATGCATCAACCTCATTTTTTAATCATTGATATTTTTTGGTTTTGATTTAAAATTGTACACTTGCAATATAAACAATAATTTCATAATATACATAATAATAACTTATACTTACAATACCTATACTTGTAAATACTTGTAATATAATACTTATGTTTATAATACTGATAAAAATTTTTATTGATATAAACTTTTGCATTCAAACTTTAGTTATAAAACTTTAATTTAACTTAATAACTTTTACATAAATGAAAATAACTAAAAAAAGATGTTAGTTATTATATAGATTATAGCCATATGCTTATTTATTATAATTGACTTATAGTAAGTTAAACAATATAAAATGTTAAGTTCCAGGCAATAGGTCTTATATGATATGTATCTAATGTATATCTTGTATTTTGCAGCATGTTAAAGAATATTTCTGCATGGTGCACTCTGACTGTTGACAATATTTGCATATTGATATGAGTAAAAGTGACTTCAACAACCAGAATGTGTTTTTGATAAATATTAATAATAACAGGTTAGTAAATATAATTATAGTAACAATGGCAATAACTTTTTATTATTAGAATTAGTGAGAGACTTATGTATAATAGAGCTAGATTAACTTTGGGGGACAAATATAATAACTTGAGTAAATATTGCCGTTGTTTATAACCTCGGTTAGAGTAATGTAAGTAAATATTATTTTTATCTAAAGAATATTCGGCAAAAGTCAGTATTTCCTAATTATTAAATATTATAAAAAAACATGTGTTTAAAAAAAAAAATTTAAATGTATCATAAAATAATAAAATAAGTATTTAAGTATAAAAAAAAACACATTTATTATTATAATGTATATATATCACATTAACTATGTTGTCTATAAAGTAGGGGTTGCAGCTGATATTTCAGCTTCAGCTATAAACTCATTAGCTTCAGATTAATGCTGAAGCTGATCAAGTCAGTTTAATCATCTTGATAGCTGATAGTAAAAGAGAATAATACTCCATAAATATTTTATATAAAATATATTTTTATATAGGAATTTATTCAATGAAAATCTAAAATAGTGACAAAATTTAAACATACATGTAAATTTTAAATAAAATTTGCCAAAAGTTGTTGCTATTTATAAATGTTGCCATCAGAGCCTAGGCCTAGGACTTACAATATTAGGGGACCCAAATTATGTTTTTAGAAATTTGTTTAAAAAGTGGTGCCCAAAAATCTAATTCCATTTTTAATTATCTTAAGGGGACCAACTATCTTTTGTTCAAAAAGAGTACACTTTGCTAGTATTTCATAGGTAAAAAAAAAAGGGAAGATAAAACGATAAAAATCTTTATTTTTTATTTTTTAAACATATTTTTTGTCAGAGTGGATTTTTTTTGCTAGATGAGGATGTTCGTCTAATAATGTAGCTGCATCCGAACATATTAAATTTCATATTAAATTTGACTGTTAAGACAGCATATAATGTTTTTACAGAAAGCTGCAACTTCTCACTGCTCCAATAATCATTCCTTAGTGAAAATACCTTTTCAACAGCAGCATTAGTGCCTGGACAACATAAAGAAACTTCTGTTAAAACTTTTAAATTTTCATGAGGAATATGTTCTACTCTAAAATGCCAAAAGATCTCTACCCATCTTTTTTCAAGTTCTATTTTCTTATTGTTCCATTTCTTCAATTTTTCTTGATTTAAAAATAAATTTACTCTTCCAATTTCTTCAAAAAGAAAATTTACATTAATAACAATATCTTTTACTTCCTTTATTACAAATTCGACTGCTGAAGAAACTTTTTTCCATTAAATTTTACTATTTATAAGGGTCCATTTAAAACAATTCAATGCTCTAAAGTTCATTATCCATTCTTCGATATATTCATAGCAAATTTTATAAAAAATTTTAACTTCTATTAAAAATTTTTTTTTTTTCCGGGATTGGAATCTTCCAAAGCGGTCAGTTTATAGGCTTTAATATAGCCTTTAATATTGTATATAGTAGTGTATGTATATATTTTTTAATTTAAATTTGCCTTTAATTTGTTTTTTTATATTTTTGTGCAGAAAATTTTTTCTGTCACTTTATCCTTCTGAACTTATGTGATTAAGTTTTTGTTTTCTCTTACATATTTTCTTACTCATCTTATCTCATCCGTTCATTTTTTTCTTTTTTTTTTCATTTTTCTTAGCGTTACTCTTATATTTTAAATAGTATTGTTCCTTATACTTCTTTTTTATTACTTGTATTAATGTAGTTTTCTTTCTTATTATTTTTTATTTTATTTGTTTATTTTATGAAGGTGTCGCTCCATTGACTTGTTTTTAATATGAGTGACACCGAACATAAATTTGTAAATTATAATTAAGTTTGTAATTTTTGATTTTATGGTTAATTAACCATAAGCCCATGTGTAGTATGTACAGTAAGGTTTTTGTTATCCTTTTATTTAATTAAATAAATGGATAAAAAACTTTGCTGTACATACTATGCATGCCTCAAGATTGTCAAGCATGG